TGCTAGTTTTTAAACCACTTTTTACCTTCCACAAGCCTGTTGATTTCTTGTCTTTGTGCATCTTTATGCTCAATTATATGACCACTATCTGACCAATATGTTTACACTGATCCATGACTGTGTTTCCATACATCTGTGTCCGTGTCACCAGCTGCTGGTTTTTTTTTTCTTTCTGGATGGTCTATATGAGACCTTCTGACTCCACATTGCAGACAGCAGGAAAGGGAGGAAGACAAAAGATGAGTGTCCAAAAGATAACAGAGAGGAGGAAGAGGACTGCAGGGAGATACTGAGAGGAAAAAAAATATTTTCTGAGAGGTCCTTATTAGTATCGCTACTACTATTGCTCATACTTCAGAGGTCTGATTGTGGTACGGACATGAGTTATACCTCAAATCGTGTGGCTTTTTGTTGAGAGGTGTTTGAGCACTTTTCAAGCTGATTAAGCTTGCAAAAATGGGCAAAAAATCCCATAGACAGACACTGAAGGAGGGACTGAGTGAGAATGAAGTATCACAATATATTACTACATCGTTGTCACCGTAATGTCCATGATGCTTCATATAATTTTAGCTGTTTGTTGTATTATTTTGATCTAAATGCTTATCGGTTTGTGCACAGCCCATTTTACTTCCTTAATACAACAGATTTATGAAAACAGCAGGATAAGACTTGACTTTATCCATTGTGAGTTGATTGGATTGCATAATGTAGCTTTTTCAGATCTGAAGTTTGCAGTTGGTTGTGGAGAGGATGACTGTACTTACTGTATTTTATTATATATTTAAATATTTAAAAATATATATATAAAATAATCCACACAAATTACATTTTGGGAAATGATTTCAATGCATTTTGAGTGCAAGTCCGGAGCAGAGATCGGGCAAAATAAAACAAAAAGTTGGTTGCTGATCTCGTGTTTGATTGATTGCCAGTTGACTGGTTCATCTCTACACAAAAATATTTTATATTTTATATAATATATAATATGCATTATATTGACTAAGGGAATGAGTGAGAGTTAAGTATCACAATATATTACTACATCATTGTAATCATTACGACCATTATGCCTGTAATTTCGGCTGTGTGTTGTATAGAGGTCGACCGATATGGGTTTTTCTCTGGCCGATACCGATATTTAGAAATCAGGGCAGCCGATGGCTGATATATGATGCCGATTTTCTTTTTCTTTTTTCCCCTTCATCTCATAAAAGAGAGTTTGAGTATAGCAGGGCACAAGATAATAGTAGTAGTAGTAGTAGTAGTAGTAGCCTAATTCATAGTAATAATACATGGCTCAAAACTTAAGCACCTTCTCAAAACAGCTCTGAAGCATGTTTTTTGTTTATGTTTGCAGACAGACACCAGTGGCCCTGTCCCAAATGGCACCCTAAACCCTTGCAGTCTTCCTCTGAGTCCACACTTTCGTGACGTAATGCCGCTTTGACTGTCGGGTAGAAGTCTGCTGCGGAGCTCGCACCAGTTCGGGCTCGGCAGAAGTGCAGATCGGGGCGCATAACGGCTGCAAAGGGGATGCTCGCGAGTACTTTACACTGTACTTTCACATGCAAGTGACTTATTGCACTTATGAATATGATAAGCATGGTCGGCATCAATTCTAGTAGGGAAAAAAACGTAATTACGCTTTCGAAATGGTCTATTTTGGCCTGCCATCGTTAGCTGAAGCTGTGTGTGAACAAGGCACGGCTGCAAAGTGTGAGCTGCTCCGTCTCATGCTGCCAGAGGGAGAGAGATTCTCCGGTACGGCATTCTGCAACAACGCTTAGCTGCCCGCAGATGCGCCTGCCTATAAATCGGCCTAATTTGCAGTACAATGGGCAGATGCAGATTAATTTAATAATGCCAAAAATCGGCCCGATTAATCGGCTGGCCGATCAATCGGTCGACCTCTAGTGTTGTACTATTTTGGCGGAAATGTCATTTTAAAACAATGTAATTTTAATTCTTTATTTAAAGGTCATGAAACCCCCTCTTTCAGCACTGGTTAGTTCTCACCACTGTTTTAAAAAATGCTAAAAAAGTGGGCGTGGTGCGCTGCGAGTGGAGGGGGAAGAGGGGAGACCGACAACACACACAGCTTCGCGTTCAGACAGTTTCATTTCGCTCCCATCGAGTTAAAAACACAAATAAATGCACAACCATTTGCACTCTGCATCGAAAACATATAAATGAACGGGCTGTTGCACCTCTGAGAACTTTTAAGGCTTATTCTGCTGCGTTTATATAAGCCTTTTGACGGCTTGTCACGCAGCTGTAAAAATGGTTACACTCACTAAGTGAACGAATCGTGTTTGTGCCGAACTCTTATTACAAAGCAAAAACGAACACTCTCCTCCGATCCATAAACGTTTAGCAAATATTAGCGATTTTTTGCAAACATTTCTTTGAGTAACATGACCGTAATATGAACTCACGATTGAATGTAACATAATACAAATGATTACTTTTCGTTAAAATCTTTATTAATGCCAAAAATGCTTACATTTATGTGTCTTTTTGTTCGCTCGGGCAGCCATGTTGCCCCTGAAGC